CCCTCTCTCCTGAGCCTCACTATCCTCATAAAAACTCTTTAAAGCATTAACTAACTTACTACCTATTCCATACACTTCTAACATCTGCCACATTGCTCCCCTATCCACTATCATATGTCTTTTCTAAATCCATAAATGCAATGAAAATTTCCCTATCTTTATCTAAACACTGTTCACATATATGCTTCATTGTAAACACTTGATCTACACATCCCCTACCCACTCTAAAGCCTCCTTGCTCATCTGCAATCCTACTCTCTGTCTTACCTCTAATTCTTTCAATAACCCTACCATACACTTTACCTGGTATACAGTAGGGACCTGCTTTACGGCATTTCGCCTTACGGCGTTCCGCTAATACGGCAATGTCAAATTATGACCAAAATTTGCTATACGACAAGCGGTCTTTTAAATATGACGCGCCCCACCCGGTTTGTTTACATTCTTCGTGACCACATCTATTATGTCTGGAAACTCCAAAATTTCAAATGTTTTAAAGTTATTGCATATTTTAAATGTACATGCTCTGATAATTATAATTATGTGTACCTGTACCTAAATATACTTACACACTGTGCTGGTGTGCAGGTACACAGTAAAATCGCTAAGAGTCTCTACTCATGACGCCAATACTACGTAATAATAATCACTCTTGGGCACATTAAATGTCTTATTTTACATTAATATAGACATTTTCATTAATCCATCTATGATATTTTCCTCAAAATTATATAAGAAACACGTTACATAGCATATAAACATGATACATACACTCACAGAATAAAAATTGACCTAAATATGAGATTTGTTTACAAAGCAGCTGTGTATGTAGTGTTGAAAGAATTACGTTTTCTCTAGTCAAATACAGTGGACCCCCGGTTTACGATATTATTTCATTCCAGAAGGAATATTGTGAATTAGATTAGTCCATTTCAGACCCCCAAACATACACATACAAACGCACTTACATAAATACACTTACATAATTGGTCTCACTGGGAGCTGATCGTAAACCGGGGGTCCACTGTACTGGAGGATAACTATAGAAAAATATTCCTTTCGTATGCCTTCACTCTACATATAGCAATTCACAACCCTTGTGGGTTTAGCGCTTTTTTATTATGTGGCCCCTTTTTCGGGCCACCCTGCCTTGGTGGGAATCGGCCAGTGTGATAATAAAAAATAAATAATAATAATAATAATATCTTCATTCACTCTTAAAAATGGTGTTGCATGAGAATGGGAGTGTTGCTGTTTATTTATTCTGTACTAACTTGTACACAATGTAAGAGTATTTGTATTGTGAGGTAATTATTATTATAATAAAAAAAATTATTTTGAGGTAAAAGTTTTACAAACTCTTACAAACATACGTGAATGAACTAAAAGTAGACACATATTAATACGCATTTATTTCGCCCGACAAAGTGATCGCCCACTACCTGTTCAGTTTGTGTTCTTACATTATCTGACCTCTATATCTCATTCTCTCTTGTTTACTCTTTCATTAACTAGCTGGCTCTCACTGACGATGGCATCTAAGCTTAGTTGTGATAAAAAGAGGAGTCGTAAGCCTCTTACTTTAAGTGCCAAGTTAGAGGACGATGGTGTGCCATTCTGATTTTATTCAATAAACACGCTGCTACTTGAACATTAAAATGGTATATTTTAAGGCAAGTAATAAGTGTACTCTGTGTACCTTACCTTTTATTGTGTTTTTAATGTCTATTTCTATTGCTAACTTAAAAATATAAGTTAGTGTAAACTTGTTGTCTGGCATTTATTGCATATTTTATATGCGCTCTGATAAGAATACTTGTAGACCTGTGTGGTAGCCGGGCAGAGGGACAACATTACGTTTTCTCTGCTCAGCCACCAGAGAAAACGTATATGAATCTACGTTTGGCCCAGCCACTCCCCCACTCTGCTTTTATTTACAATTTTCGGCATGAATTATTCATTACTTCTCCCTTCGTTTATGATGCCATCTAAAGGTAGTTGTTAGAAACGATTAAATTCAGAGAACAAGATGTCGTTGTTAATAATGTGGCTCTGGGCCACAGTGTAGGTAGCTGGTAAGTGTAGCCCAGGCGGGCTACACCTCCCGGCTACCTACACTGACTTCCTACAAATAAATACTACTCACCTCTCTTCCTACATGAAGACTACACATATTGTAAGGTAAATAGTGAGTGTACTGTATGTGTATTTTAACTCTCTGGGCTGTTTTAAATATTGCATATTAAGTATGAGACGGGAAGCCAGGGCTACTTACACCTGTCTTCCCACAAATAAGTACTACTCACCTCTCTCCCTACATTAATATTACAAATACTCTAAGATAAGTAATGAATGTACTGTGTATGCATTTTACTTTGTGTGCTTTTAATGCCTAGTTTTATTACTAACTTAATATAAGTTAGTGTAAACTTGTTGTCTGGCATTTATATGCATTTATAAATGGAAAAAAATGGTGTTCTGCTTTCCAGCGATGTCTGCTTTCCAGCGATGTCTGCTTTCCAGCGATAGCCTGGAACCTAACCCGCCATCTAAGTGGGGCCCTACTGTACTCAGTAAACTTGTTCCCCAATAATTTTTACAATCTCTTTTGTCCCCTTTCCCTTTATATAAAGGAACTATACATGCTCTCTGCCAATCCCTTGGTACCATCCTCTCTTTCATACATTAAATAAAAATACCAACAACTCCAATGCAATATGCTCCCCTGCTGTTAACATTCTTGTCATGATCCCGTCAATTCCAGCTGCTTTACCCCCTTTCATTCTATGTAATGCCTCACGCACTTCCCCCACACTCACATCCTACTTTTCTTCACTCCTAGAAGACGTTATACCTCTCTGATCAGTGCATGAAATTCCGCCTCCCTTTCTTCATCGACATTTCAAAGTTCCTCAAAATATTCCCACAATCAACCCAATACCTCCAGCTCCCCATCTACTAACTCCCCTACTCTGTTTTTAACTGACAAATCCATTTGTTCCCTAGGCTTTCTAAACTTGATTATCTCGCTCGAAAATTTTTTCTTATTTGCAGCGAAATTTTTTGACACTGCCTCTCCCACTCTTTCATCTGCTCTCCTTTTGCACTCTCTCACCACTCTCTTCACCTTTCTTTTAGTCTCCATATACTCTGCTCTTCTTACAACACTTCTGATTTGTAAAAACCTCGCATAAGCTACCTTTTTCTCTGTTATCACACCCTTTACTTCATCATTCCACCGATCACTCCTCTTTCCTCCTGCACCCACCCTCCTATAGCCACAAACTTCTGCCCCACATTCTAATACTCCATTTTTAAAACTATCCCAACCCTCTTCAACCCCCAACTACTCATACTTGCATTAGCCCACCTTTCTGCCAATAGTTGCTTATATCTCGCCCTAAGTTCCTCCTCCCTTAGTTTATACACTTTCACCTCTTTCTCTTGCTTGTTGTTTCAATTTTCCTTTTGTCCCATCTACCTCTTACTCTAACCGTAGTTTTTTTTTTTTTTTTTTTTTTTAACAAGTCGACCGTCTCCCACCGAGGCAGGGTGACCCAAAAGAGAAAATCCCCAAAAAGAAAATACTTTCATCATCATTCAACACTTTCACCTCACTCACACATAATCACTGTTTTTTCAGAGGTGCTCAGAACACAACAGTTTAGAAGCATATACCTATAAAGATACACAACATATCCCTCCAAACTGCTAATACCGTAGCTACAACTGAATAATGTTCCAATATATCCATTTCCCCTCTATAAACATGTACATGCTGAAGTTTACCCATCAGCCTTTTATCCACCAATACATAATCTAAAAAACTACTTTCATTATGTGCTATATCATACCTTGTATACTTATTTATCCTCTTTTTCATAAAATATGTATTTACCAAACCTCTTTCTACACATAGCTCAATTAAAGGCTCCCCATTTTCATTTACCCCTGGCACCCCAAATTTACCTACTACTCCCTCCACAACATTTTACCCACTTTAACACTGAGATCCCCAAGCACAAGTACTCTCTCACTTGGTTCAAAACTCCCCAAGCACTCGCTCAACATTTCCCAAAATCTCTCTCTCCTCTGTACTTCTCTCTTCTCCAGGGGCATAAACACTTACTATAACCCACTTTTCACATCCAACCCTTATTTCACATCACATAATCCTAGCATTTATACATTTATATTCCCTCTTTTCCTGCCATAACTTATCCTTCAACATTATTGCTACTACTCCTTCAGATCTATTTGAAACCCCTTACCTAACCCCATTTATTTCTCCCCATTGAAACTCTCCTACCCCCTTCAGCTTAATTGCACTTAAAGCAGGACATTCAGCTTCTCATTCATAACATCCACAATCATCTCTTTCTTATCATTCTCAAATGCACTTTGACAGTTTTTTTATTTTCTTTTCAATAAGCTATACAGGAAAAGGGGTTACTAGCCCATTGTTCCTGGCATTTTTGTGGACTTTTACAACATGCATGGCCTAAGGAGGAAAGTGTCTTATTCCACTTCCCCAAACAAGGATTAAACTGCATATGGTTTGGAAACTTTCATCTTTTCTGTCATAAGGTTTATGTCCTAAACAAAACATGTGATTATCCTTTACAAATAGCACATGTGACTGCTACAGTCCATTAATTACTGATATATACTGTAATATGACTGCAAATTCTTATAAGAAGTTCCATGTTGAACCACAACCAAGGAGGTACAATGTCTCAAGATAAGGAAAACTTGGAGCCAAAATAATGGAAGAAAATAAACTTTCCCAATACTGAGAACCAAATGTGTAAAGAAGTACACTAAGCTAAAGAGAAACAGTTCTAATATTGGCACAAGGACAGGTATTTCTAAGTGGCTCATGAGAACCCCCAAAATTATAAAAGGTTTTGATATACAAATAGGATATAACACAAAGTACTCTTTAAGTATACTTTCATGCTACAATTCTGGAGAGAAAAAAATTAAAACATTAAACATACCTGAAGAGTTTTGCCCAGACCCATACAATGAGCAAGAATACAGCCACTGCCAGGCTTATCCTTCAGCATCTCTAAACTTTCAATAGTCGCATCCCACATAAACTTTATCCCTTTGAACTGTACGGAATAAAAACAAGAATTCAATAAAATGCCCATTTAAGAGAGAAAACATAATATTTAAATAGTGAACTTTGTGTGTCTCTACCCTCTGACAAACTTTTTCCTAAATATATAAAAATGAAATTAATGAAAAGTCTCTACAAGCAATTGTTACTCTGCATATATTAATGCAGAGGACCCTTGAAGTCTCACAGTCAAGAAATGCCTGAATCTGGGAGCACCTTAGTGAATTTTACATCTCTGGACTAGGTATGATAAAGTTACACATTAAGTTAAATATTGCTCAAAACAAAACATTTATGTACAGATGCACTACAATTACTAGGAGCATAAATGTTTAACTCAAAAATAAAATATTTAAGCTGGAAAAAAGTAATTGGTAGTTTATTCCAAGGTTTAACTTGTGCACTAAGTCTGAATATCATGCAATTAAAATATATTCTGACAACATAAATGATCAATACAACTAAATTTGTCATACAAAATAATGCTAGTAAACTCTCTCTTGGATATTAATACTAACCTGATGAGGTTTTAAGAACTTAACCAGCTTTTCATGGACAGACACAAGCTCTAATTTAGTTTTTGGGTCGAAGTCCAAGACTAATTTACCCAAGTCCTTTTGATCAGATTCCACATCAATTTCAAATATCTTGTTGTACTGTCAAAAACAAGAAATACAATATTACATAAAGATGAACATCCTAAAGAAACAAAGGATTTACATAACATGAATCCTCAAGTTCTCACTGTGCATAAAACCAGAGATTTTGTCAATTCTCTTCATATCAACAAAATAGCTTATGAATTACATAATAGGGATGTGTATTGTCACCATGGTTGTATAAAATATTTATAGATTAGGTTTCCCATGACTTGGTAGGCAACGCTCGTTTCACAAACTGAGTGTCCGTGATTCGTTCCCTGTCAAGGGTAGAAACATTGGGCGTTTCCTTATACCTGCTGTCCCTTTCACCTAACATGCAACTAGGTACTTGGGTATTAGTCGACTGGTGTGGGTCGCATCCTGGAATGTAAGATTAAGGGCCCCAATGGAAATAAGACAGACAGTCCCTCAATGAAATACTGCCTTTCTTGGGTTATCCTGGGTGACTAACCCTCCAGGGTTAAAAATCCAAACAAAATCTTATCTCACCAAGCAAGCCTGGCCCATGGCTGGACTCTGGGAAGAGAAAGACACGAAACTCATCAAAAAGTATAAGGTACATGGGGTTGTAAAAGAACTAAATAAATGTTAGGGTGTTGGGGAGGGGAGGGATAAAATTATGTAGATTCAAATACAAAATGGAAGTTGACACAGCTAATTTTTGCTGATGATACTGTGCTCTTAGGAGATTTTAAAGTGAAGTTGCGAAGGTTAGTGAACAAGTTTGGGAGGGTGTGTAAAGAATAAAGTTGAAAGTGAATATAGATAAGATTAAGGTGATGAGGGTATCAAACTAGTTAGGTAAGAAAAAAACCATACCACGGGCGGGGATAGAACCCGCGATCAGAGTCTCAAAACTCCAGACCGTCGCGTTAGCCACAGGACCAACTAGCCACAACAAGATTCGTCCAACTAGGTATATTTCTACACCATGGGAAGGTTAGCATAGGCACCACTGTGACCACAGATGCAAGTTTTTACAGACGAATCTCCAGCTAGCGTGGCCGTGATGAACTCTAGCTCAAGTCCCCTCACTGCCGTCAACATGACTCACGATATCATAATGACACGATTGCAAACAAACCATACCACGGGCGGGATTTGAACCCGCGGTCAGAGAGTCTCAAAACTCCAGACTGTCGCGTTAGCCACTGGACCAGCTAGCCACAATAAGACCTAGTTGGACAAATCTTGTTGTGGCTAGCTGGTCCAGTGGCTAACGCGACGGTCTGGAGTTTTGAGACTCTCTGAACGCGGGTTCTATCCCCGCCCATGGTATGGTTTGTTTGCAATCGTGTCATTACGATTTCGTGAGTCATGTTAACAGCTTTGAGGGGACTTGAGCTAGAGTTCATCACGGCCACGCTAGCTGGAGATTCGTCTGTAAAAACTTGTATCTGTGGTCACAGTGGTGCCTATGCTAACCTTCCCATGGTGTAGAAATATACCTAGTTGGACAAATCTTATTGTGGCTAGCTGGTCCAGTGGCTATGTGATGGTCTGGAGTTTTGAGACTCTCTGATGGCGGGTTCTATCCCCGCCCGTGATATGGTTTGTTTGCAACTGTGTCATTATGGATTATAGAGTTTAGTTAGGTAAGGAAAAAACAGATATCAGACTGGAGCCAGAGAGTATGGAAAAAGTGAATGTGCTCAGATATTAGGGAGTCAGAGGATATATTTATGAAGGATGAGGTAAACCACAGAATTAAGGAAGATAAAAAGGTGGGTGGTGCATTGAGGTATCTGTGGAGACACATTATCCATGGAGGCAAAGAAGGGAATTCATGAAGGTATAGTGGTACCAACACTCTTACATGGGTGTGACACATGGGTGTGACGCATGGGTTGTGAACACTGCGGCAAGGAGGAGGCAGGAGGCAGTGATGTGTCTAAGGGCAATGTGTGGCCTAAATATTATGCAGAGAAGTCGAAGTGTTGAAATTAGGAGGAGGTTCTGGAGTTATTAAAAGTATTATTCAGAAGGCTTTGGAGGGGCTGTTGGGGTGGTTTGGTCATTTAGAGAGGTTGGAGCAAAATAGGATGACTGGGAGGGTGTATCTATAGTGGAGGGAAGGAGAGGTAAAGGTTGTCCTAGGAAAGAATGGAGGAGGGGGGATGGACAAGAGGTTTTGTGTACAAGGGGCTTGGACATACAGCAGGCATGTGTGAACATGTTAGAGTGGAGACAAATGGTTTTTGGGACTTGACAAGATGTTGGAGTGTGAGCCGGAAAATACATTGTGAAGGGATTCAGGGAAACTGATCAGACAGACCTGAGTCCTGGAGGTGGGAAGTACACTTTAAAGGAGGGGTTTGGGATACTTGCTGTTTGGAGTGACATCTGAACTGTCATATCTGGGCAACTCTGCAAATGAGTGATATGTGTGTGAATGATGGTAATTTTTTTTTTTTTTGGGGGGGGGGGGGGTGTCACCCTGCCTAGGTGGGAGACACCCAACATGTTGAAAGAGGAAAAAAGAAAAAAAGCTTGTGTATGGGTGGTGGGAAAGGTATTACAGAAAGTATTAAGGGATAGTCAGAGCAAGACTGCATAGGAACAAGGTTTCAGGAAGGGTAGGGGATGTAAGGATCAAGTGTTCACACTGAAGCATATAAGTGAGTAACATTTAGATAAAGGTAAGGAAGCTTTCCTTAAGGCAACTCAGATTTGACAGATGAGCATTGGCGGCAGATGTTATTTGGTAGATGCAAGTCTCCGGTGACATGGTAGGCACTATGCTTACTCCCAGGGCCTTCTCTTTGAATGAGGTTTACAGCCTCTGTTCCCTAAGTCATATTATACTCTGTATCTGGGGATGAGGCATGGTTTGACAAGGTTAGGTAAAGGATCCCAAGCTTTATTGACAAGCTATTTACAGGTTAAGGATTCCTAACTTTATTGACAAGCTAAGAGCTGTTACCTACATCAGCTCATTTGAAACCATTTTTATTGTTATGAAACATACAAGTAGGGAACAGAATGAAGTTGGAGCCATCTGTGGGCCAGCATTTTCATTTGATTAACTGACTATCTTGTTGACACCATAATGCTGTACAAATGTGTTCCATACTCGAGGCATCCTGGGGACAAATGATCTCAGATGAAGTGATGTTCTGGAGAAGGGTACAGCCAGAGTGAAGTTGCTGATTTCTGCCCATTTTGTGGTATAGAAGCTTGCTTCTCGTTGTTCTCAAAGTGGATCCAGGTGTGGTACTTTGACAATATTGGCCTTGTACATAACAGTAAGGCCATCCACAACTCTCCTGCATTGAAGGCTCTGCTGAAATGACAGATCTATCCAGGATGGGTCTAGGTGAGAGACGAGATGTCTTGCTCTGTTCTCTACTCCGTCAAGCAGTCGGGGGAGGGGGGGGGAGGAAGACAGTGGAGCATACTCAAGGTGTGAGTATACATGTACTTGTGCCTCATACAGAACCTTGCAACCCCCTACTGTCAAGCAAATGCAAGATACGGCGAAGTGCTGTAAACTTCGTGGCTGCCTTGTTTGCAAGATTTACGTGGTTCTTCATGGTCAGTTTGGAGTCAAATTTCACCCCAAGGATATCAACTTCGCCAGGTACCAACACCCTCCCATTCATACTTACTACTGCACCGGTATTACCATCATGGTGCCTAGAGACCTTCATCATTTGTGTTTTCTCAGGTGCAAATGTTACTTGCCATCTATTTCCCCAAGCTGATATAGCTCTCAGCTGGTGATTGATGTAGCTTAGAGCAGCAGGCATTTCTTCTCTTGGATAAGTGAATGTCAGCGTACAGACATCTGAATATGCATGGGATTCTGGGATGAGATGAAGGTCACTGAAGTAGGTATTCCATAACAATGGTCCCAGCAAGCTTCCTTGTGGAACACTTGCCCCAATTGGATGTCTTGCTGATTCCGTTCCACTGAGAACTACCCTTAGATATCTACCATGAAGGTAATCACTGAGGAGACATTGCATAGAGCCGGCAATTCCCAGAGCTTGCAGTTTTGCTAAGAGGCTCTGGTGCCACACCAGGTCGAAAGCACCAGCAATGTCCAGTGCTACCACACAGCCGACTTTGGATTCATCCAGTGACTGGTGCCATTTAGTGGAGAGGTTTAACAACAGATCAGCAGCAGAGTAACCTTTCCTGAAGCCATACTGACGGTTACAAAGTAGTGAGTGGTAGTCAAAAAACTCTGTCATTTGTCTGAGAGTATTGT